TCAGCCTCTCCTGCAGCCGCTCAGCCCAAGGGGATGTGCAGGGAATAGAAATACCAAGTTGCTCCTCACCCTGAGGAAGGTGTCTAGTGAGCCGTTCTCCATGTATTCTGTAACAATCATTACCAATTTGCCTGCAGAAGACAAGGGAGGTCAAGTTAGCAGAGAAGTCACCTTCCTCTGGGAAGCCCAGTGCCAGGTTTTTACTGGGAGAGACATGAACCCAGGCCTGTGGGTCTCCTGCAGCCTCTCAGAGTGGTCTCACCCCTGCACTGGGCAGGATGGGCAGAGGCAATGAGGCAATAACCCCCCAGGTCTCCCTCCCTCCAGGTGAATGTGGCTGGGGGCGGCTTACTTTCCTCGTTCTGCTGAAATCTGCATGCCATTAGCATAATGCTTTGCATCAGAATGTGCTTTTTTTGAAGGAAGGCTTCAAATTATGATTCCATACAGGCAGTCTTTAAAATAAATGCTATTGAACAGGACATCTCCCAAACCAACAACCCTGACCTGGAGCACACTGCAGAGCAGGGGTGGAACTGCCAGGTGGGAAGTTAGGCCTGGAAGAGAAGGCAAAGGGGTGTGATGTGGGGGGACCCTGGGTGTATATCAGTTCTATTTAACGTCTTTATTGCTGATCTGGATGTGGGGATTGAGCATCTTCAGAAAATTTGCAGACACTAAATTGGTTGGGAGTGTGGATCTGCCTGAGGGTAGAAAAGCTCTATAGAGAGACCTGCATGGACTCATCAGTGGGCTGAGGACAACTGCATGAGGGTCACTAAGGCTCAGTGCTGGTCCTGCCCTTGGGACACAACAGCCCATGCAGCTCCAGGCTGGGGGAGGAGTTGGGACAGAGGTGTTGATCACAGAGGGACTTGGCAGTGCTGGTGGCACAGCTCAGTGTGAGCCAACAGTGTGCACAGGTGGCCAAGGAGGCCAAGGGCATCTTGGCCTGGCTCAAGCACAGTGTGGCAGCAGCACTAGGGCAGGGATCATCCCCCTGGACTGGGCACTGGGGAGGTCCCAGCTCAGTGCTGTGCTCAGCTTTGGGCACTCACTGCCCAAAGGCCATTGAGGCTCTGGAGCGAGTCCAGCCAAGGGCAACGAGGGCAGCAAAGGGCTAGAGCACATGGGCAAGGGCTGAGGGAGTTGGGCTTGGTTAGCCTGGAGAAGAGGCTCAGGGGTGACCTCATGGCTCTCTGCAACTCCCTGACAGGGTTGGAAAGAGGTGGGGAATGTCAGTCCTGCCATGGCTGCAGGGAGAGGACTGGAGGGAATGGCCTTGAGCTGAGCCAGGGCAGAGTCAGAGGAGATGGTAGGAGAAATGTTTTACCTGTGAGACATTGTCACATGATTTTTAGGAGGGAGAGGACATTTTGGATTGTTTTTTAATGCTTATTGAAGACAATGTTTGTGGATTTGGAGCCAGGAAGAAATTTAAGGCTTGGTTCTTCTAGACTTTTCTTTCTAGATTGCCTAGGGAGGTGTTGGAGTCACCATCCCTGGAAGTGTTTAAGAGGTGTCTGGATCTGGAACTGGAGGATCTGGTTTAGGGTTTAGGGGTTCCAGCAGTGACAATGGTTGGACTTGATGCTCTTAGAGGTCTCCTCCAACCCTGATGGGTCTGTGATTCTATGATTCTACATGGAGTGCACCCAAATTGAGCCCTGACCCCATTTCCACCCACAGGGTCCCTTCCCTGCCAGCCACATACTCCTGGTGACCACCCCCTCCAGGTGGATGACGTTGGGGTGGTCGAACTGTGCCATGATGCTGGCCTCGCTCAGGAAGTCGCGTCTCTGTTTCTCTGTGTAGCCTGCCTTCAGGGCCTTGATGGCCACGGGGATCTCCCTCTTCCCTGGCAGCTTCAGGCGCCCGTAGCACACCTCTCCAGACTCCCCTGCAAGGCAAGGGCAGGTGAGGCCATGGGGAGCTTCTCAACTTCTTGCACTGCCCCACCAGCTCACTCAGGGTTTTAAACTGCGTTCCAATCCCACTTCAAGATTCAATCCTCTGAAAGGATTGCCCAGCTGGAAGGGTGGGAACATCATCAACCACTTCTCTCTGGTGCCTCTTACTGAAGGCAGTGATGACACTAACACTTGCTTTACTGCTTTTAATGAATCAATTTGGGAGCCTCAGAGCAGCAAGGCTGACCCTCATCCTGGATGCTTTGGGGTAGGCCCTTGGAGTGCTGCTAGTTCCAGTTTCACCTCTGCCCTGTGCATCCCCCTTAACTCAGCTTTGGTGAAGTCCTAGCTGGAATGCTGCACACAGTTCTGGTGAGAAGGACATGGAACTGTTGGAGCAAGTCCAGAGGAGACCACAAAGCTGATCAGAGGATTGAAGCATCTCCCCTATGAAGATAGGCTGAGAGAGTTGGCGCTATTCTGCCTGGAGAGGAGCTCCGAGCAACCTGCCAGGAGCTGAAGAGGCTCCAGGGAAGCTGCAGAGGGACTCTGTGTTAGGAACTGCAGGGACAGGACAAGGGGTAATGGGTTCAAACTGAAGGAGTGGAAATTTAGATTAGATATCAGGAAGAAGTTTTCCCTGTGAGGGTGGTGAGACACTGTCCCAGGTTGCCCAGGGAGGCTGTGGCTGCCCCAACCCCGGCAGTGTTCACAGCCAGGTTGGCTAAAGCCTTGAGCAACCTGCTCTGGTGGGAGGTGTCCCTGCCCAGGGCAGGGGGTTGGCGCTGGATGATCTCTAAACTCCATTCCAACCCCTTAACATTCTATGATCCTATGATTCCCTGCAAGCCTCTGTTCCTATGCAAAAATGCCTTTTGTTCTGAAAACTTCCCATTTTGCTTACAATTCCATTTGCATCTTGTCACCCCAGGTGTCAGAGCAAGGTGGCATGTTGGAGCACCCACACGGGACAGGCTGAGCCATCTGCTGTGTCAGCCTGAGCTGTTGCTGCCACAGTGGCTGATGAGCAATCCCCTGCACCAAGCTGCCTCCAAAGGGTTTCTTTCACACACCAAACCCCCCACTCTATCCATGGGTTTGATCCCACAAGGCTAAGGAAGTTGGTCTCAGCTACAGGCTGAGAAAGCTGGAGCTGTTCAGCCTGGAGAAGAGAAGGTTGTGTGGAGACCTCAGAGCAGCCTGCCAGGAGCTGAAGGGGCTCCAGGGAAGCTGCAGTCCATCCCAACCCCTAAGATTCCATGACTCCAAGGGGCAGCTGGAGCCTTGCTGAGCACTGCTGTGGTCCCACAGGCACAGCACAAGTTCAGGCTGTGAATTTCCCTGGGCAGACATGATTCAAAGAGGCATCTGAAGGCCTCAGGACTCACCAGACCCAATGACCTTCTCGATCTTGATCCGGGAGGCCTCGATTTCCCTGGTGAACTCATGCACAGCTTGGCAAGGATCCTCGTATGTGTGTGGGTCCACATAGAACTTGGACTCAGGGAACTTCACTGCCAGGTTTTAAAGGGGAGAGAGGACATCAAGTTTTCCAGGCAGCCCCACTGAGAAGATGGGGCACCCAGAGATGTGCAGAGGATGGGCAGGGGCAGGACTTGGAGGGTTGACAGGCTGAGGAGCCACAGAGTTTGCAGCCCCAAGGCATCCTAAGGCACTCTTGGGCTTAGCAGTGAGCTCAGGACAGCTCAGGACTTGGCTGCCCACATGTTCTCCATGTTCTCCATCACCTCCACCCACCCACTCCTGTCCCTGCTGCTGTCTGGGATGATTCTGCTGCAGGCTCTTCAATCCTTTCCCCCCATTCCCAGGATCTCTGGGATCAGAGCCCCCACTCAACTATCCTCAGACACATTCCCAGAAGCAGGCAGGAATCAAAAGCCTTCTCCCTGGAAACCAGAGCAGTGCCAGGGGATAACAATCCAGCTCTGTGCCATTCCATGGTGATGAGGTCCTTCATGGGGAGGGTCCTACCTTGCCCATTCTGATAATGCATCTTCTCCTCATCAGATTCCTGGAAAGCCTTGCTGTACCCACAGTGCCTGTCACGGGGGGGACAAGGGTCAGAAGAGCTGCTGCTATCCCATGCTCCCACAAGCATCCCAAAGGCAGTGGGGAAAGCAGCCCAGGAGGAGCCAGAGCTAACACTCACCCCTCCACCAGCTCCACTGACACTTTGGTCTGGATCAAGGTCCTTTCCAGGTGCTCTCCAAGGCTTGGCAGTGCTAAAAGCTGCAGCCTTTTTGAGCAGCAGCCTGTGTGCTCCACATGCCTGGCTCAGCCATGCTGAGATGGAGCAGACACAGTCCCCCTTGGATCTGTCTGATGTAGAAATGCTTTCTCCACTCCTCACCTACCTCCCAGCCCATCCAGTCAGCCCCCGTACTGGGACTGGGATTGCTATTGCTCCTGATCCTGATATTCAGTTTATTAT